ATGGGGGGACTTCAAGAACTAGAATCAGGAAAAAAAAACAAATATTTTTATTTTTGCTAAAGATCCAAACATGTCTTTTCAAGTTTGCACCTTCTTTCCTGAGAAATAAGTTTGCAACTTATTAATCCACAGAATTGGTAATGGAACTTCAATCCAAGTCACTTAGTTTCTTTAAAAACCTAAGAAGTCCCTATGTACCAGTCATTGACAATAACATAAACTATTTTGCAAGAAAACTCAAGTAAATTGCTTCTTGAATTTACTTAATGTCTATAAACTCTATACTTCATTGTGATTCTTACACTAACATTCTGCATTAATCAATGTATCCAACATAACAATTTAACTAAATGACCAAACCTTAGGTTGAAGATGGACCCATTAGCAACTCAAAGAGGTACTCACCCGAATTTTCACAAAAAAAAAAAAAATAAGTAAAATGGAAAAAAGGCTACAGGACTGAATGTTTATTTATCTAGTTTATTTTTATTGTTGTTAAATGCTCATCTCTTCTAAACATAAATTTCCACCAAAATCATTCATACATCAATCCGAGCCCTTCATTCATTTACAAACCTTATAAATTCCATATATATCTATGATTCCCTTTGATAAATTATTTTCCAACATTACTTGAAATTTTATGAGGCAAAGCCTAAGCCATGGAAGCAAAGGTACCCAATGAAATTGCATAAGCCCATAGATATTTTCTTCTTTGACTCATAGTAAATAAAGCTCATTTTCAGAAATAATTCCATAAAATCCTACATGAATAACAGAAGGTACACGCTCCAAGAAGAAAATCAGCTCCTAGAAGAATTCATCTAGATTTCAAGATACAGAGGCATCAAAGAAGGAAGCTACATTTTTGGGTGGAAATTAGGGACCGAAAACACGATCCCCCTACTCAAACAAAAACTCAGAAACATAAATTTTTCCCTCACCTGAAAAGTCAGAGTCTTTACAAGGCAAATCATTCTGTTGTGGAACTTCGGAGAAACCTCAGCCGTTATTGTCTCTTGGGTTGCCGCCAAATGTTAGGGTTACATTAGAGAGGAGTGAAAAAGGAAGAAAAAGCATTGCAGGACCCAACTCCCACGCCCTCAAAGTTCAGTGCAAGTTCTGTTTTTATTTTGAGCATGACACGGGATTGCAGAATATTGATGTTAGATGAGGAAAGTTACCAATATTAGAAAGTATGCTATTTGTTTAAGGTTTTATATTTTGTAATTTCATAAAACTGTTTTACAGTATGGGGTGCAGTACATCTAATTGAATTATTTAAATATTTTTTTTAAAATAATATAAAATAAAATTAAAGATATTTAAATAATTTTATAAGATAAACGGTATACAATTCATTCTCTAAAACAATTTCTTTTTGTATTTTAGAATAATTTAAATCGTTCAAATAATTTTTATTTATAGTATTTTAGAGGCATGATAGTGGAGGTTTGGATTGGACTAATTGAAGAAGCAAAAGCTAATTTGATTGAATTTGTGGATCTTTTATTTTTATTTTATTTTATTTTATTTTATTTATTTTGGTGCAAGAATTTGTGGATCGTTGAAACCTCACTAGCCAAAGCAAATCTCAGGTTTCAACTTTCAACCTCACTTTTTCATTTCCTTTTTCTCATTTTGAGTCATTTTCTAAGATAAAAATAGTATTAGTGTAATTTTTAAAAATCTCATATAAGTCTTAATTTTGAAGTATAAAATTTCTTCTAGAGTTTTAATTTGTGGATTAAATATATAAAATAATATAAATAGTAATGATCCAGCATTTGAGAATCTCTTATAAAAGATGCTTACATTATTGATAAAAAAAGTTCTCATTACCATGTAATTAAATCTTAATTCTAAAATATCTAACATTGTTCAAAGTTCTTCTGTAGTCTGTTCTTCTCCATAACATTTACATTTTGAAAGTTAAATGCGTGGCTAAAACTTGAATCGGGTTTGTATTAGAGACCAATTCAACCTTTCCAACACCTTAGAGCAGGGATCTCAGCAACATTACACGCAAAACAACCTCAACAGAAAATGTTTCTCTCCTCTTTTTCCACTAACAAAGAGTGAAAATCACCATGATAAGAGACACTTTATATCTAATTAACTTGTATTTTTAGAGGGAAAGGAACAAAGTTTTTATGTGTCTGCTTGGAAGTTCATATAAGCAAAAATAACAAACTCTTCTGCTTTGTGAATTCTTCAAAACGGAAAGAGCACACACTCATTGGTATTGTTTGGTTGAAGGAAAGCTGGTATTCCTTGGTCAAACCATATATTACAAATGGTTAAACAGTCACAAACAGCTTCACTAGCAAATGTTTTGGCCAGGAACTTCCACACCATCCATATCAAAGGTCCAAATGGAGGGCAGGTGCAGAATGGAGTTTTTAAGTTTTTTCATCCATTTCTTGCCTCATAGCTCTTGCTTCTCCTCTTGGTTTTTCATCTGTTATCACGAGTACTTCATCTCTTTTGCTCATGTTTATCTGGCACCTCAAGACATATTTTTTTACTAAATTTTGTCTTGCAAAATATTTGAGTAGCAATCACCCCAAAGCCTGTTTGTCTATATGGGGTTTGCAATGTTGCTTTTCAAAACATTGCTACTCGTTATTAAGCATTAGAGATGGGCACCTTTATTCCACTTGAACATGGCAGTCCAATCACAAAAGGACATTCCTTGATGATATTACGGGAAATTCTTTAATAGGAAGCACTGCACGTTGAATAGAATTATCTGTCAGGATTATTTTGCACATTTTTACAATATATTTTGGTAGTATTGTCTGTCATGAACCATAAATAAAACATACCTAGAAGGCAACTCTGGCTAAGGTAATTGGGGCAGTACCATCAGTGTTCAGCCCGATACTATCACCGTGAGACATCATCTGCAAGAAACAAAGCCTTCCAGATTTTTGCGACTGGTCCTTACCCTAACAAACCAAAACAAACAGAAGAAGACTTCAATTATTCATAAAGCAGGATAAATCTCAAGTTAAGTAAAACTGTCAAAAAAAAAAAAAAAAAAACAGAACACAGAATCAAAAGGTCATAATAGCCTCATTGCCAATAACTTCATGACCACTTCTGAAACCAAGCATGTCACACTGATTAAACTTTATGAGGAATCAAAGATTTACAGTAAGTTCATCAAAACAGTTACCATAGTACACACACAAGAAAGAAACACTTTAAAATTGTTGTTTGTTTAGAGAAGTGGAAATTTTAGATCTATCAGGTAGCAAAATTCCCAATGGTCTTAGCAATATGATGCCAGATGTATGTTTTATAGAAGAATGAATGTAGCTATGTGAAGGGACAGAAAAATATACATACATGTTCTATTGGTAGATTACTGATCTGACATCAAAACCTTATTAGCTTTGCTATCAGCATCATCCTCCTCTCCATCATCTTCTTGATCTAGCTCATCACTCACGGCCAACATTTTCAGGTAGCCAACACACAATCTGCTTTTGATGGAGTGGGAGATGTAATTTGTTCGTTGTTCAACGGATTTATACTGCTGGAACCTAGGATCAGAAGGATGGTTCTGTAACAAGAAAACAATAGGCATCATTAAGGATGTAATGGCCCTTGGTCTTCTCAGCTGAAGTCACAACTTGAAAAGTCCTGGATCATTTTTGTAGTTGACAGGGCATTGAAAACTCACATCCTAAAGGAACTCCATACATATCAGGTAAAAAAGTTCCACCAGACTTTCAGATAATAGTCAAATTAAATAGAATCTACGGAAAGGAATTGCAAATTGCAAAAAGAAATATGAAAAAGAAACTATTAGAAGGCAACCAACAGATATGACAGATAGAATTAAACAAACAAAATCATCAGCAAGGAAGAAACCTGGATGTAGAAAATGGCTCTAGAAGAACTGGCTCATTCACAATGCTGATACATATCCTGATAGACTAGTCATTTTATATTGAAGGCAGCAATGAAACC